AACTCAGAGACCGGCCTACCTCAGCCTCTCAAGTAATGCTTATTTTCTTACTACCTTGGTTCTGATTTTATTTTTATTTGAATAAGGATTCCACTCTTACTGGGAAGAACACATCCTTCACTCATACACTTTTTGTTTGTTTTGTTTTTTGAGAAAGGCTCTCAGTTTGTAACCCAGGCTGTCATGGAACTTGCTGTACAGCCCTGGTTACACTCACACTTACCAGGTCTCCCTCAGTCATGTCCAGTGCCTTTTTAAATGCAAGCTCCTCCTCCTAGCCAGCGCCCTGCTTTTGTGCCACTTAAAGTCAGTACTAGGCTGTTATTCTGTCCGGGTGCTGTGGGTTCCTAAGAGCCATATATTTCACTGTGACTGGTTTAGTTATGGACATCTTATGAAGCCAGTTTTCATTGTCTGTTGCATCTTTCTCTTACCCCTTCTTCTCCTCTTCCCACTTCCCGTTTCCACTGCTAGGGTAAAACAGACCTAGGGCCTCCTGCAGGCAGAGCAAGTTCCCAGCCCCAAGTCACTTACATTTGATTGCAGTGTTAGCTGTTGACTTACTGTCTTGGCAGAACCATCTTCTTGATGTGAAATTTGTTTCTTAAAATCTGTATCACTTGATAGTTTCCCTTTCCCAGACCACGTATTGTGCCTCAAGAAAACCATTAGGTCATTTCTTAAAATTTGGGTGGGGGGTTGACCTCTTTCCCCCTCCCACTTTAAAAAATGATTTATTTATTTTATGTGAATTGGTGTTTGGCCTGCGTATATATCTGTGTGACGGTTCCAGATCACTTGGAACTGGAGTAACATACAGTTATGATTTGCCATGTGGGTGCTGGGATTTGAGCCCAGGACCTCTGGAAGAGCAGCCAGTGCTTTTGACCACTGGCCATCTATCGTGGTTTAATAAGGATCAGGAGAAACAAATAGGCCGAATAGATGTTTATTCAGGGAGAAATAACTCACAACATAGACAGTCTGATGAACACCAGCAGGTTCCTGGTCCTGAGGATGCCTCCGGATGCTCTCCTGTTGGCAGCCTGTTCCCTGGCTTCTCCTCAGACCTAGCTCCCTCAGGCCACTTCCCGCCCCTGTCTTCACCCCCATTGGGCGTGGTCAGTGCCACAGATGTGGACAAAGTGAATATCTCACTACAAATTCCCCTTTTAGTCTAAAGAAAAGAAAAGATTTAGGCTTGATACAAAACTATATACAAAACAATGAATAACAACTGTGCTCTAAGAAAAGGAAAATCGAGAACAAACTTGAGACCTACAGCTATCCTCCTTTCCATTTTCTCAGAAAGATTCTCGTGTTGCTAAGGTGAGCCTCAGACTTGCTATGTTACAATGCTGGTCATGAACTCTTGATCCAGCCTATACCTTTCAAGTGTTTGATCATAGACATGTGACACCATACCAGCCTCAACTCCGAAACTTATTTGGAGGGGGTAGGGGGAATACCTGGCTTTCCTGGTATTCTCATTGTAGACCAGGCTGACCTTGAACTCACAAAGAGATCCGCCTGCCTCTGCCCACCAAATGCAAGGACTTGTGTGCTGCCACTGCCCAGCAATTCCTACACCCCTAAGGCTAACTATTTTGCATATTGAAGTTAAAGTTCTCTTCATAACTGTGTTACTATTCCTGTGAGAGAAAGTTTGAAATAGTATTATGAATCCCCGGGTTAGATAGACAGGTAATTGACAGCTGTTCAGTGTCTGCAAGTTTCCCATGTGGTCACTCTTCAGGGGGTGCTGTAAACAGACTCTCACTGGAGAGCAGTGACCATGAAGTGTCTGCAGAAGCACATTCTTCACCCTGGTCTTCTTAGGACACCATCCTGGAGGCCACTTCTTGATAAAGGCATATCTGTGAGCTGAGGACACACACTGATGTCTTTGAGACCGAGGTCCTTGACCTGTCAGGGTTATTCCTCAGTACTTTTCTCCCTTTTTGGAAAATAACTGGACTATATAAAAATCAATGAAAATCCTGATAGACACATTTTGCCAAGAATGTCAGTTATCTCTTGACAGATTGTGTAACCGTAATGCCATTCAGGGAAATAAGGTGGTGGGTGGCTGGTATTTTAAGTGAAATGGACTGGAGTTCCTCAGTGCCAATCAGTGTTGTGAGAACAAAATCCTTGAGGTGAAACACTAAGTAGGTAAGAACTGGTATTTTGTGAATAACTTAGAAATGAATAAAATGTGATTTATGGGTTTGACAGGTTCTTTTTGATCAGTAGCACCTGGAGAATTTGTAGATTTCTTTTTTAATGTAGTAAAAGCATTTAACACCCCCAAATGATAAAGGAGTCTTTTAGCAAGTTTCCACACTGACTAGTCTAACCCAGTGCATCTCAGGACGATTGCTTTGTCATTTTAACTGGCCCTCTCTGCCTTCCCTTGTCCTTGACTTCCCCAGCGGAGAGGAGAAAGACACTTGTGGCTCCTGCTGCACGTCTCCATGGTGAATCCCTTTTCTGTCTGACTTAGTGTCTGAGCAGTTTATTACCAACTTGTAGCTTTTACATTTTTCATTTAGTTGGCCTTTAGATTCTCGTACAAAATGCACTATGGTAAGGAGTCCTGTGTGTGATTCAGTGTGTAATTAGAGACCTGTTGTGTCTGGCATGTGGGTTGTACTAAAGACAGAGGAGCATTGATCTTATCTTGTTTTAACATGATTTAGGAAAGGGAATCTTTGTCAAGTAGATGCAAGCAGATTAAAGTGTTTTTTTGCGCACTTTTGATACAGGACAGAAAAGATGTCTTTAGTTTTCTAGAACTGATGACCAAGGATAAGTCACAATTGTAAGTACTGAAGGCTTCTTTTGAGGCGAGGAGGCTACAGAAAGTTGATCCTTTCTACTGTAATGAACATTTACGTTGTTTCTGGTATTTGAATGAGCTTTGGTGATGATAGCTGTAGCTATGCTGGCATGTACTTGGGAGTAACTTTTTTTCTTTTTGAGTAACTTTTTTTTAAATGTAAGGATATTTTGCCTGCATGTGTGTGTGTGGTGCCCAAGGAGGCCAGAAGAGGAAACCCTATGAGTACTGAGAATCCAGCCTGTGTCCTCTGAAGAGAAGCAGTTTATCTCTCCAGCCCATCAGTTTATAAAAGAAAATGAAATCAGATCCCATTCCTACCAGCAGGGACTGGCTTTAAAAAAGAAACTGCTAGGATGTAATGGTGCATGCCTTTAATCCCACAGTAAGGAGGAGAGGCCAGCCTGGTCTATATATAACAAGTTCTAGGAGAGCCAGGGTTACACACAGGAACCTGTCTCAAACGAAAGCAAAGTAAAAACGGCGTTGATGTAAAACGTGAATAAAAGGAAGTTTAGGTTTTGGACTGATGGTGGAGTCTGTTCCCCATGCTTCACTGAACAGTTTTTTTGTTTGTTTTTTTTTTGGGTTTTTTTTTTTTTTTTTTTTTTTTTTTGTGTGTGTGTGTGTGTGTGTGTTTGTGTTTGTTTTTCCTGTTTCGTTTTTATCAATTTGTAGTGTGTTTGGGGGAGATTTTAATAAATTGAATCCGTTATATCTTTACATTTTCTTTTAATTGTGTGTGTTGGGGGGTGGGAGCGGGGTATACATGTATGCGACTAAAGTGCCTGACAAGGCCAGTAGGCATCCAACCAAACCTCCTGGAGTTGGAGTCGAAGGCCTTTGCGAGCCACCTGCCATGGTTCTGGGAAGTGGCTTGGTCATCTGCAAGAACTGCACACCTCACTGGCCATCTGTGGGCCTTTTCTTTCTTAGGGCATCTCCCCCTTACTTTTCTAATAACATCTTACTTTTTAAATTAACTTTGTGACAGGGTGCTGGAAATTGAATTTGGGTTCTCGTGCGTGCTGAACACATGCACTATCTATCACTGGGGTGGACCCTGACCCAGAGCTCTTGGGGTCCTTTCTTAGGTCGTCTCGTTATGTAGTCTGTACTGACTCTCAGCTCATGGTATAGTCCAGACTGCCCTTGAACTCAGGGTCCTCTCCTTAGCCTCCCAAGACCTTTCCCACACTCGTCATACACTTTAAATTTTTCTTTACCAGCTTCACATAGGGAGGAGAGAGGGGAGAGCAAACCTATGCACTCGTGTGCGTGTGTGTGTGCGCGCGCGTGTGCATGTGGAGGTCAGAGGTCAACCACAGGTGTTATTCAGGAGCTATTTTTGTGGGGAGTCTTTTGTTGTTTTGTTTTTTTTTTTTTGTTGTTTGTTTGTAACAAGATCTCACTATGTAACCCTGACGTCAGGAACTGGGCCTGTGCTGGAATGGAAGGTGTATGCCACCATGCCTGGCCCACCATAGTATTTGAGGCGGCGTTTCTCACCACGACCTAAGGCTTACTGGTTATGCTGGCTGAACATGAAACCCCTGAGATCTGCTTTTCTTTGCTTCCTTGGTGCTTGTTAGGGTTACAGCTGCTTTTGGGGTAGGTGCTGGGGATCAAACTCAGGTCCTCACGCTTGTATGGCAAGCTCATTACAGAGTAACATGTCTAAGCTGGTCCTGAATCTTAATGCTATGAAGGCGTTCTCAAGATGTCTGAAGGCTGAGTGATGTTTGAGGAAGAGAATAGAAGTGTTGCCCCTCTGTGATTAGAGTCTTGACCTACACCTGACCCTAAAGATACATCTAAAGGGTTAGGTAGGGTTAGTTGGGAGCAAAAGGATGAGTGAAAACAAATGCCGAAAACTCGCTCCACTTTCCCTGTTTAAACTTGACACAGATCCCATGAAGTGGTATTTCCCGAGTTTGCAGAGAGACACACGGTCAGAGAGGGAGCTTATATTACTAGTCTCTGAATCCAAAGCTCATGCATATTCTTTTCATGAGGGGTATAATTGTCTCTTAAACTACTAGAGTTGTTCTGTTTTCTATGGTTTGGTAACATTTGCAAACTGGCAAGTCCCGGATGTCACCTGCAGTTCTTTCATGTGCTATAAAACCCGTGTACTTTCCTTTACTTTTTACTTCAGCATTGAAAGCAAACATGAGGTTACAATTCTAGGAGGACTCAATGAATTTGTTGTCAAGTTTTATGGACCACAGGGAAGTAAGTACATGTGTGGGTATGTGTTCTTTTTTAATAATCTTTTACTAGACAGTAGGACTACCAACAGGTGCATGGCTTTGAAAAGTAAGTTTTAACATTAGAACCATTGAGTGAAGAAATCTTTGTCATTCATTCACTTACTCTCACAATTTCTGGGTTCTGTTATGAATGGCCACTTAGAGGTGTTCCTTGGGGAGTGTATATTCTGTTCTGTTTTTGGAATTACATTTCCTAGTCCTTTCTTTACTTTTAAAAGTTTGTTTGTTTATTTATTTATTTATTATGTGTATGAGTATTTTGTCTGTGTGTGCACCATGTATGTGTCAGGCACTCTTGAGGTCAGAAGAGGACATCGTATCTCCTGAAATTGGAGTTTTGGATTGTTGTGAGCCACAGTGTGGCTGCTGGAAATTTAATCTGGGTTCTCTGTAAGAGCAACAAATGCTCTTAATTCCGAGTCATCTCTTTAGCCCCCGTATTACTTTTTATTTTGAAGCAAAGTCTCACGAAGTTCAAGCCATCTTGAAGTTACTCTAGTGCAGGTAGCTCTTGAAATTTGGGCCCTCATGCTGCAGCCTAAGTCAGCTTGTTCTGTTAGACAGAGCCTAAAGAAAAGTGAATTCATCTGAACATAGAGTATCTTCCCTGCTGATTGTAGTTGGTCCTGGGCTTTTGTTTTCCTCCTCGAGACAGGATCTCACTTTATAACTCAGGCCAGCCTGGAACCCACAGCAATCCCACAGCAATCCTGTTGTTTTACCTTGTAAGTGCTAGCTAACATTGCAGCCTAAGTCACTATGTCCACCTAGTTCCTGACTTTTTCAGAAGTGAGGGATTTGGATTCATTTTCTAATTTGAAGACACAATTCCAATGGATAACATGTTCCATTTCTGTTCCAGCACCATATGAAGGCGGAGTGTGGAAAGTTAGAGTGGATCTTCCTGACAAATACCCTTTCAAATCTCCGTCTATAG